TCTTGCTGGGTAAACTGCAAACTCGTTTTTATCTCCTGTATTTCTCTGGTCATGTCGTCGAGTCTGTTGTTGTTTGTCTCCATAATTAGTTGCACGAAGCCTTTGAAGTTTTCCTGCTGTTGGTTCATCAGCACGATGTACATCTGTTTCTGCTGATCCAGAATGTCTGTTACTTGCGCCGCTCTGTGATACTCTTCTTCTGCCTCCATATCCTCATTCGCTTCTGATTTATTAGCTCTTTTCCCTCTTGGAGGCATTTTAATAGTTGTAGAATTTGTTCAAAAACTTGAAAGTGTAGAAGATGTGAAAAATCGTAGAACAGACAAGAGGAGCAGTAAAGACGTCTGCTCTCGCTTGCAACCCGGAAGTATTTCAACATGAACCACTAAAAGCTTAGCAACCCTGTATGAATGAATAGCAGAAGTAGGCCAACTTTGTTCACTGTATAATATAACACCATCCAACACATACAGTACTGTATCTTTTAAGGTCTAGTCTATAAAGGTTGTTGATGCTACATGGCATTTTCAATGTCACACAAGATAAAAATGTATATAATTAGTATTTAAAAAGCAGTAAATAATTTAAAATGTGTTTTTACATGAACTTATAAAAAATAGTTTTTGTGAAATCTCAAGATTTTCCTATGGTGTGACTGTTTCAAACATGGGTCAATAAAATGTAATTTTTATAAATGAAAAATAACTAAAACTGTTGATTAATACCTCCAGGCACAAGGGTTAAAAGTATCTGTTTTAGTAAATGGCAATCATTATTTTCATACATATATTTCTAGCATAGAAGCTTAATACATTTTGTCACTGAAAACTATGTCCTCCAGCAATTACAAAAACAATATTATTTAGTTAAAGGAGCCCATTCAAGGTCATGTTATTGAAGCCCTCTCTGAAGCCGATGCAAAGTTTTTGTCTCAGAATTATTTAAATATTCATAGTGGGGGGTTTTAACCACTAAATGTATGTGGGGTTTTTTGGTCCTTTCGTGTGACACTCCTAAATTGTCATGTTCTGGAAAACAGCGGGTGCATTAGTGAGTCCGAATGGCATGACCAGATATTCATAATGACCAGACAGGGTGTTGAA